ACCTCGGCCTCCCAAAGTGCCAGGATTACAGGTGTGAGCCACCGCTCCTGGCCCTTTAAGGATTTTTTAAGACTGGAAAACAAAAAAGAAGTCAGGAGGAGCCAAATCAGGACTGGAAGGTAGATCCCTACTGATTTCTCATGGAAACTTGCAAAATTGCCTTTGATGAGACAAATGAGCAGGAGTGTTGTTGTGGTAGACAAGGACTTTGATGAAGCTTTCCTTGGCGTTTTTCTGCTAAAGCTCTGGCTTTCTCAAAGCACTTTTATAATAAGCATATGTTATCAAGGCAGGAGGATTGCTTGAGCACAGGAGTTCAAGACCAGCCTGGGCAACATGGCAAGACCCTGTCTCTACAAAAAACAATTTAAAAATTAGTCGGGTGTGATGGTGCACACCTGTGGTTCCAGCTACTTGGGCGCTGAGATCGGAGGATCACTTGAGCCCGGGAGGCAGAGGTTGTGGTGAGCTGAGATTGTGCCACTGCACTTCAGCCCAGGTGACAGAATGAGACCGTCTTCAAAAAAAAAAAAAAAAAAAAAAAGCAGATGTTACCAAATTTGGCCCTCCAGAAAGTCAACAAGCAAAATGACCTGCCCATTTCAAAGACTTGCCACGACCTTTGCTCTTGACTAGTTCATTTTGCTTTGACTGAACACCTTCTACCTCTTGGTGGTCATTGCTTTGATTGTGCTTTGTCTTCAGAATCATGGTGGTAAAGTCACGTTTCATCCCCTGTTACAATTTGTTGAAAAAAACGCTTCAAGATACTGATCCTACTTTTAAAATATTTCCATCATAAGCTCTGCTCTTATCTGCAGATGACAACATTTTTGTCACCCATTGAGTGGAAAGTTTGCTCAACTTTAATTGTTCAGTCAGAATTGTCTAAACTGAAACAAGACATTTATGGTGTCGGCTATTGCTGTTAGTCAACGGTCTTCTTCAATTAGGGCACAAACAAGATTTATTTTTTTCTTGCAAACTGATTCGGACAGCCTGCCGCTGTGGGCTTCATCTTTAACATCCTCTCATTCCTTTTTAAAACAAGTTCTCCATTTGTAAGCTGCTGATTTTTTAGGGCATTGTTCCCATAAGCTTTTCATAAAACATAATGATTTTATCATTCTCTCACCCCAGCTTCACCATTAATTTAATTTTTGTTCTTGCTTCAATTTTAGCAGAATTAACGTTGCTCTGACAGAAGCTCTTTTCAAATTGATGTCTTATCCTTCTTCATCTCAAATTAGCTGCTATTAAGATAGGTTATAACAAGTTAGTGAGTTTATTTTGGTGCAACAAAGTTTTGAGGCTGGGCACATTGGCTTACCCCTGAAATCCCAACACTTTGGGAATCTGAGGTGGCAGGATTGCTTGAACCCAGGAGGTCCAAGCTGTGGTGAGCTGTGATTGCACCCGTGCACTCCAGCCTGGGCAACAGAGCGAGGCCTGTCTCAAAAGTAATAATAATAATAAATTAAATAAATAATTATTTTGAACTCCATGCACAGTATTTTCATAATACACATTATCTATGAAATTCTTAAAGACCCCTGTACTTATGTATAAATGTATCAAAACAGGTATGTGATCAGTATGCTTAAAACTGAAAAACGCTGATGAAAGAAATTAACGACCTAAATAAATGGAAAGGTATATTGTGTTTATGTATTAGATGGCTGAACACAGTAATCATGTCAATTTTGCCTAAATTGATCTATAGATTTAATGCAACTCCAATCAAAATCCCTGCAGACTTTTTAAATTTCTAAAGTTGATACATAATAGATGTTCATATTCTCAGGGTACATGTGATATTTTGATGTAGTAATATAATGTGTAATGATCAAATCAGGGTAATTAAGATATCCATTACCTTAAACATTTATCTTTTCTTTATGCTGAGAACATTCAAATTATTCTCTTCTAGATATTGTGAAATATATAACAGATTATTGTTTATTATAGTCACATTACTGATTTATAGAATACTAGGTCTTATTTCTTCTATCTAACTGTATTTTTTGTATCTATTACTCCACCTCTCTTCATCCCTCCTTCTCCTTCCCCTTCCTGGTCTCTGGTAACTACCAGTTATCTGGTAACTACCAGTCTACCCTCTCTCTCTCTCTTTTTGGGATGGAGTCTTGCTTTGTTGCCCAGGCTGGAGTGCAGTGGCGTGATCTCAGCTCACCGCAACCTCTGCCTCCTGCATTCAAGCAATTCTTGTGCCTCAGCCTCCAAGTAGCTGGGATTACAGGTGTGTGCCATCATGCCTGGGTAATTTTTGTATTTTTGGTAGAGACAGGGTTTTACCATGTTGCCCAGGCTGGTCTTGAGCTCCTGGCCTGAAATGATCTGCCTGCTTTGGCCTCTCAAAGTGCAGGATTACAGACATGAGTTACTGCCTGGCCCGCCAGTCTATTCTTTAGCTTCATGAGATCCATGAAGCTACTCCAAAAACAGTTTGGTAGTTTGTTGTTGTTTTTTCTTTTTTTTAGCTCCCATATACGAGTGAGAACACCCAGCAGAATTTTTTTATGTAGACAAACTGATCCTAAAATTTATTTTGAAAGGCAAAGGAACTAGAATAGCTGAGACAATTTTGAAGACAAAGTGATGAAATCTTATTACTCTATTTTAACATTCATGATAAAATTACAGTAGTCACTACAGCGTGGTATTGGGAAAGGTACAAATAGCTAGGTTAATGGAACAGAATAGAGAGTTCAGAATTAGATTTACACAAACATGGCCAATTGATTGTTTTTTTCACAAAAGTGCAAAAGCAATTCAATGGCAAAAGAATAATCTTCATAAAATAATGTGGAACAATCGGACATCCATATGTGAAATATTTTTGAACTTATTTAGTACTATTATTATTATTTTTAAGACAGCACCTCACTCTGTCACCCAGGCTGGAGTGCAGTGGTGTGATCTCGGCTCACTGCAACCTCCGCCCCTCAAGGGTCAAGCAATTCTCCTGCCTTAGCCTCCCGAGTAGCTGGGGCTACAAGCATGTGCCACCACGTCTGGCTAATTTTTGTATTTTCAGTAGAGACAAGGTTTCACCATGTTGGCCAGGCTGACCTTGAACTCCCGATCTTAGGTAATTCGACTGCCTCAGCCTCCCAAAGTGCTGGGACTATAGGCATGAGTCAACACTCCTAGCCATAAAATTGTTTTTTAAAAAACCCTGACCTAGGCTGGGCACGGTGGCTCATGTCTATAATTCCAGCACTTTGAGAGCCTGAGGCAGTCAGATTACCTAAAGTCAGGAGTTCAAGAACAGCCTGGCCAACATGGTGAAGCCCTGTCTCTACTAAAAATACAAAAATTAGCCAAGTGTGGTGGCAGGTGCCTGTAACCCCAGCTACTTAGGAGGCTGAGGCAGAAGAACTGCTTGAGCCCACGAGGTGGAGTTTGCAGTGAGCCGAGATTGTGCTATTGCACTCTAGTGTGGGCGACACAGCAAGACTCTGTCAAAGAAAAAAAAAACAAAAAACCTGATCTGGTTCCAGCTACTCAGGAAGCTGAGGCAGAAGA